ATATTCGCGTATTCGCGAATTTTAAAGCGCGTTGTATTAATATAGCCTGCGGTTCCTTGGGAAAACAACATCCCTAAAGAACATGCCATCAAGGTCAATAAGTATTACGAGCTAACTAACTAACTCACTCAGAATAGGTTCGTTGTGGATTTGTACTCGGTAGAAGTGAGAGAGTAGTATAACACCCAAATCTCTCTCCAATTTACTAAAAGACTTGTTCCTTTCCAAAAGTAACATGAATTAATTCTTAAAACGTATTATGAAGGCAGTTTTAGTAGTTTCTTTTCAAATTTGATCAGATTCTTTCCTTGAAAGGAGTAGTAAACATATCTTTCCCTTGAACTGATTTAAGCAACATATGTATGACAAAAAACTTGTCCTACTGTTGAAGTATGAAATAAAAATGAAGATTTCATTCCAATCAGTGTTTGTTGTGAACCGGCAATTGTGCTGTTCACATAATTATAATATATAAAATATTTTTTTCTTCAGTGCGCCGAGGGTTTAATTTAAATAAATCGAATATATTATTATCAGTTAAGATTATTAACTAGTTAAAATAACTGTTTAAACAAAGTCTAAGTATTAAACAACGAATTACATATGAATAGACTATTTGACGACCATGACTTAATAGTCCACACTCCACATTTGATACTCATTTTATGAAAAACAAAGTTATTTTGAGTGAAATTTTCAGTGATGTGTCTATGAAATATACTAGCTAAAATTAACGCAACCTTTTTTATTAGTGGAAATAAGCCTGCTTTTGTTCTACAGTATGTTATTGTTAGTAATATTAGAACCATAAGCAAAATTCAGTACAAAATAAAGCGTTGGCGATATTTTATATAGGTAAAGTAAGCTTTATCGGAATCTCATAAGTCTTTCATTTCTTGATGAATATGGAAAGATCTGTTTCATACATATAATATGGCACAGTATCATACGATTCTTCTGTATGCTTAGTATAAGTTTCCATCGTCACACGACAAACAAAGCGTTGATCGTCTCTCACTCAATAACCTACGTTAATACTGTTATATAAGAAGTTATGAATGAAAAACTGTTAACGCCCAGTAAGTAGTGAAGTGATAAAAATTCCTCGGACACTGTCATCTCAGGCGAGTTGTAATTGCTTGGATTAAATAATATTCACAATTTCTATAGTACGAGATATTCATACCTAATACGATGTGAATACGGAGATTTTATCAGTGTTACTATTATTCTTAAAAGCCTCAAAATACTAAATAACTTAAGTAAAACTAATTTTAGTGATCACAACAGAAATTATACATAGGTGTATCAATTCTAATCATGACCATTATTTTTTTTAAATATAGCAAATAGTAATCAATTGTTTAATTATGGATATTTCTGTGAATTAAAAATATACTCATTACAAAACTTCGTAATATTTATTAATAATGTATTTGTATATAATATAAAAAAGAGTAATACCTTTTAAATCATAGGAACTTCCCAGCAATACATATCTACTACGTCTGCAACTTTAAGAGTAATCTTAAAGTTGTTCTCCATTTTTGAGGATAATAAATCAAAAGTAAATAAAATATGATAAATTTGTATTTGCATTAAACAATAGTCAACAAAGAGCGTCGGATCCGCATTCTACATGTATAGTGAATCTGTAATACTTACATTATATAAGACTTGGATTTGCCTCACAAAGCGCCTAACGCGACGCGTCTCGGGGACGAGGGCTTGTAGGCGGGATATGACGCGGAATATACACGGATAATCGGGAATATTATTATGAAATACAGATATATATCTTATATATCTACTCAATATTCATATAGCAAAATTAAATATTATTTTCCATAGTATAACAAGTATTATAAAGCGGATTAATATATTAAAGATATATTCATATAATGCTGTTCTGAAGATTAAGAAACATTCCGCGTTTGTGTTCCATGATTGTCATCCGAGGGTGGCAGCCGTGAGGGTGGGAGGAGGAGGAGGTGTGTGGGGGGGGGGGGAGGGTAGGTGGTACAATGGCTGCGTAATAATATAATCGGGGCGACGACGCCACTTGCTATTAATTAAATTTAAAATTTTCATTGCTATAGGTGCGCCGAACAGAGCTGAGCGCGATTATCTTACGCCATTGTTGTGTGTATTTGTTTCGGAATGAATGCGTAATTCTCATTATTTGTATAAAAGTTCTCTGAAGATGAATTCATTATGAATAGTTGAATGGGCTTTGAATATGAAACAATCGTATTTCGTTGGTCTATTTGTTGTCGACGCTATTGTGTGTTATATAATGTGATATAATTATAATATTTCGTCCGTCTGAAGGAGCTCATTAATGCCAAGTCACCGCAAAACGGTCGACACAAGGACATTTAGTTACGGATGCGTAAAACACCCAAAAAACCCCATGGGATCCAAAAATTCCGTGCCACCATCTCGTTTTGTTATGAATGACCTTTTTTTATCGCACCTCCTTCGTTCTAACGATTAGTTTCATTACAACCTGCCAGTTAGTCTGCTTCGATTAAAATAATAATGATCCTTCATTGGATTTTATTCCCCGAAAGGTTAAAGTTGAAAATCGAACGCAGATCTGGAAACCGAAGTGATAACAAATAATAACGTCAATGAAATAAAAAAAAAAAAATAAAGTCAAACCGAAGGTGTTTTATATTGTTGTCGAAAAAGTTTTTATCACTTCCTTCTCTTTCATGGATACATCTTTCAATGAATGGTATTGCGATAATAAATGAGCAGGTGCTATTTTATGGGCACCACAATGATTAACTATGGAACAGATAGTAAATGGGAGCTTTACGAGTGACCGCCGGTTTTTTTTATTCCGTCATTCATAAATCGTTGCACTTATTTGTTTTCATTGCGTCACCTCAAGTTCTTTTTTTAAAAATTAGGCGTCGATTTAAAATATAAATTGAAAGGCTCGGGCGCACGATCGTTATCCCGCCAAGCCGTTATCCCTAATGACGGCCCATTTTTGTTTTTAATCAATTAGCAAGTAGGCAGTGCATTGTCGCTGAAAACTTTGATTGGCTCCCAGACTTCAGAATACCGGCCAATTATTTGTATACAACGTGCCAATTACAGCTGTAGGGTCGCCATCATGTACATCATTTTACGGAATTAAATTAGATTTTGTTATGTACAGTTGAGTTTACGTTTTTTGCTCAAAAATACGTATTCAAATCTTATAAATACGATCCTGTATTTGTTTTAAATGTTTTATATTAATGTAAACACTTTTTCAATTATTCATTACAAACCAATACCTACTCCATTATCATTTTATTTGTCTAAAACTATAACAATATATCCTTAAATTAGATATCCTAAGTACATATTTCTAATCAGGCAACATCGTGTCGCGATGGCAACCCTGTCACGTCACGGCCAGAACCATTCGGGTCAATAATTAAAACCACGAGATCCGCTTCTTCGAGATTTGCTTTTTAATTAATTGGTTTGTTTCAGCCATCGAGACTCCATCCAGCCGTTGTTGAGGCTGTATTGTGCAGTTTACATTCAACCGAGCCAGAGACGGTTGAATGCTAACATCGGTTCATCGATATTATTTACTTTAAGGCAGCTCCTTATTCGCACGAAACTTGTTTGAGAACAAACTTCAACGAAAATTAACTGTCGAGCAATCGTTTCACTCCGAGAGCTGTTAAGATATTTTTTTGTAGGTATTATTTTATAATAATTGGTAATAACTATGTTTATGGAGAGATGTATTGTCTCAGATATATTAGTTTAGTTTTAGTTTATTTAGTTTTTGTTAGCTATAAGAATTTTGAGCACACGATACAAGTTTAATACCTAAACTATATAAAAAACAGTGAAATTGAACATTTTCTTTGTCTAATATTTATAGTATACTTAGATCTTGACATCTGTCACGTGTGTAGATGAATTAAATATTTACAGTAAAAATAGTTTATTTAAGAAACATTAGATAATAGAATTATTAAATGTATCAGCAAAGTAGTATGCAAATTCATTGAGATTTTTACATATATTATCACATTTCTTAAGAAACATTCCATTGATAATGTCGTTACTTCGTATTTCCTTGATCTTGTTCAACTTTGTCCAATATTCTTCGAAATCAATATTGGATCAGTCAGAGAAACTTCATCTCATGAAATAGTTACAAGCTGTCATAACAAATATAAAAGTATATACTTAGGTACCTACTTAAACAGTGGAATAGAAAAGAATTCCTTCAAATGGTTAAAAAGTTATTTTATTACTAAAATGTACCAATAATATATTTAATTTGCAGAATATGACGAAATTTTAAGCAATGCAAACGAGATCAAGATTAAGCAAATTCTGAAGGACCTTATTAAGAAGCTCCTCTACATTTAATTGTAAGTGATACTTCATTTATCTATACCTGGATACACCAAAACTTTAGAACCTTGAGCAAGTTTGTCTAGTACTAATTATATATATTAAATATAAACTATGTATTGTCTGTAACAGTGACAATACACATTCAAAGTGTTCGTAGGAGCAGTCCTCACACGGCCGGTCGCCAGCTCCCTTTCTGATCGATAACATTGTCTGGCGCACTCGTTTTATTGCGCTCCCTTAAAACGACGTTTGTTACGTAAAAACTTACACATTGTAGTCAAAACATCTCCAACTATCACAAAACTAACGAACAGCACCCTTAGTAGGAACAGTTACAATCCATCAATCATAGGGAATTCTCGAAAGTACAATGTAATATTTAGTATGTAAGCCTACATGCATCCCTACTAAGATATACCTACATATGTATGTATGTATGTCCTTTCACAAAAAACTATATCTATAAAACCGTATCATTAATCAGTGCTCGGCTTGTAACTGTCAATTGAATGTGAATGTAGTTAGCTACATAAACACTAGGAACTAGACTCTATAGCTTAAGAGTAGAGTCGATTATCGTCTGTATTATAAATAAAGTAGCTGAGATAAGATTTCGGATGCTGTTACAGCCGCGGGTGGTCAAAGATCGCGGCGAGATGTCCGCCAATAAGACGCTGCAGGCCGGAGATGAAACAATGCCGCCTTTGTCGTGGGCGGGGACTCCATTGTACCCTACAATGGGAAGAGTGTGCTCCCTTTGTGCCCATTGTGTGATCCATTGTTATATGGTGTGTGGAGGGCGTATAACGTTCGAGGTGTGGCGGACTGCCAGAGGTTTTTTTACCTAAATTATTTCCATTGGTCTCCATAGACACGAAGATGTGAGCTCAGATTGTATATTGTCTCACCTACTATCACCAGTGTTGTATGTACCTTATGTTCAGAAATTAAGTGTGTATCCCAAAAACTATGTACCTATAGTAAAAATATGTATGACTCACAGGATTAAGTCATTAATAATGTATGCACCCTCATTTTATTTATGTCATATGAATTATAGTGTTTTAGGATATATCCAAAAGTTTTAGTGGAAGGTGAATTAAGGCATCTCAAACGTACATTGATTTTAAATCACCCTTACACATATTGAGACAGTACGTTCACTGAGAATTCATTGCCATCTTAGAACAGGTCTAACACAATCCAGTCGAAATAAAAAAAAACTGTTTCTCTTATAGAGCATTATAATAACACTAGGTATTTAATGTACATACTCTAATAGAAGTATTGAATAACGACCATAGTTTATTAATTTTCTTGTATTTGTTAAGTATAATATTAATCGTATACATGACGTAAATAATTATTTATTAATTATATATTTTCTCACCAGTTGGTTGTGTAACGTAAAGGATTTTAATAAACATGTAACAACTTGCTTTTTAGTATTTTAAGTGTAGGTTTTTAAAATATATTATTTTAATTATATAAAATCTTTCCTCAAAACTAAATAAAATTGATCAAAAATGTTGGTTATTTTTTTAAACAGAAAAAGTTATGCCCACTATAATAACTGTAATCTGTTAGTGATGACTCATCGTAAACAAATAAAAGTTATTGTTTATGATTTTAAAAATTATGTTTTGTTGTCAAAAAAATAATCAATTTTGTATCTTTGCTGTCCTTAGTTTACCGGAGCTACAACTAGCGCCATCTCTGATCTGTGCGTGAAACAATGTTGAGACTGTTTTTTATGATTAGGTATAACTTTTTTAAACAGATTAAATTTTAAACTTGAGTTATTCTGATTATTATTATTTATAACTAAGATAAGTAGCCACATTCGCCTAACTAAAATATATGCTACAATATACTAAAACGTTACGGTTACCCCGAAAATACTCAAGAAAGTGCTTGAGAATGGCAAAATTGGCGAGTCAAGGAGTAGTAAGGGGCAAACACATCCGCTCAACGTCTAAGTGTTCATCGCGACAAATTGGCTCTTTACGGACCTTGTAGCTAATGATTGTGGGCCTTTCATAAATACTGAGCTTTTATAGCTAAAACATATAGAAATATACATTTTAATAGTAAAAATATTTTCTAAAATTCATTTAATAAATATGGTATAGAAAAATATTGTTTTCATTTAAATAGAGTAAAATAATTAACTACAATTTTGTTATACAATTTGGTTCTGGATAGGAATGTTGAGAAAAAATATTTAAATGTAACGAAAGGAGTATAATATAAATAAATAAATGATTAAAATTATTTGACTTAGTTTTTCATAAAATGTCTTCCAACTGATAAATTCCAGAAAAGTGACCTCTTTAGGTTATAGACGGAGTTTACTAAGCATTTCATGACGTAGTAAGTAGGCACTAAGTTTGCACTATTTTAAATTTCCATGTTTGATACTAGATGGCGCGTTTCACAATTTTATATTCCTAAAAGTAATACGATTTATAATGTTCTAATAAATAAAATTTCAATTAAGTAAATTTCAATTAAGTAACGAATCTGATATATATTTCATATTTTAAATAAACTATATAAGATTTATTTTTAAAGACATTTATACTAATATGTATTTAGTTTTTACATGTATCATTAAAATTTTATTCAATGTTTATACATAATTGGTTTAATTTCAATAATATTTTTTTCAATTGAAAAATAAATAATGGAATGTAATCGAATTAATGAAAAATCAATAATTGTAGCGTATTATTTAAAATTTCAGCCTAAACATACAAGGACCGTGTGGCCTAATGGATAAGGCGTCGGACTTCGGATCCGAAGATTGCAGGTTCGAGTCCTGTCACGGTCGCATGATAACGTTTTTGTCACATTTTTTGTAAATATGGTATCTAAAAATGTCTACTTAATACTAGCTTTAGTTCGTGACTTTGTCCGCGTAAAGTTCTGAATAAGTTATATATGTATAGCTGACGGGTCGAAATCTATTCAGTATTTCTCCCTAGAGGTAATAAATAACAGGATATTGTTATGTTATTTTGCGATTAAACAGAGTTGATTATCCTATGTCCGTCTCCTAGTACTAACAATAAGCTATTTCCCTGCAAATTTTCAACCATATTCCTATAACCGTTCGTGACTTATAAGTAATGAAACTAACACAAATTTCTTAAATATAAATATTAAATATATAGATAACTTAAAACATATTCATCTGCAAACCTTACTTTTTGCATGCGGGTTTACAACGTACATACTGTGGAGGCCCATCAGAACCCTTTGTCACTGTAGAAGTCGCAGAGCTAACAATTTTACTCCTTACAAATAAAAAATATGTTTTTAGCAAAAATTTCACTGTAGCTGGTCGAAACTATCGTCATTATTTTAAATAAATAATGCGCCATTATTGTTATTGATATACATAATTATAATTATGTTACTTATCTTGTTTTTCATAAAAAAGTTATGTGTGATTCACAGCTAATTAATAATTTAACAAAAAATATCGATTGATTTTCAGTTTTATATTTAAATTCCTTTTATTATCCCTCTACTGGGTTATAGTTATTATAATGAATAACCTTGTAAAAATTATATCTTTAAATTATGAGGTTACTTTAATTTTGTCATACGTTTAAACCAATCTCATTTATGTACAATAACATATAAGCGCCATCTATTACAATTTAGTGAAACTAATGACAATGTGAGACGTGCTGAATAACGCGATTACCTAATATCATTTTTCCACACTAGATGGCACTGTCGCAGTTTATTCAACACTGCATTTGTCAATTTTTATGTTGATATCTTTACTAGTATATTTTAGAAATAGCGCGTTGTCGGAATTGTAATTTATATTTTTTTAATCTTTAAATCAAACGCTTTAGGAAAGCTAACCAAGTTTAACAATCTGTTTTATCATTTCTAGTTTTCCCAATCATTACATATGTCATAAAGTTAACTATTTAAATTTTTAAAATAAAAATTTAATTATGAAATGATTAGTTAAATTGATTTGATGAGAGTATTTTAAGCCACGCAGTTATAGTTAATATAATTAAATTGTTTTTTCAATTCTCTACGTCATCAAATATAGAGTGAAAATTGGTTTTCATGCGTATGATCTCTTGTAACTTCCATAGACTTGGAAAATAAATTCTTCTTTGGGTAATGGATAAGATAGTAGGTATCTTTACACAAAACCTTTTGTTATATTTGCCTATTGGTTTTTGTTCACTTAAAATTCTGTAGAATTTTTGTTAAATTAGTTCCATAAAAAATATCTTAGAATTTGTTAAAGAGGCTTCTCTCTTCAAATACTACATGAACCGAGAAATTTATATCAAATTTGTATGAAATATTAATAGATTAAGCTAATTCATCAGTGTGTTCAAACTGTGTGTGAACTTAAATAATTAAAATTGGTCAATTGATTTTGTCATATTGTTATATGTAACATTGTTACTTAAAAACAGGGAAAATTTGTAAGTTTGATGATGATATGCTAACTCAGAACAAATATTCGCAATAATTTTTTAATAAAAACATGACGAAGATTTAGTAGTATCGTTCATATAAAAAATGTTGCCCATATATATAAAGGTGTATACATATATACACCTAACAAAGCCAATCTTCCAAATATTTATATTTGTTCAAACATCAAACAAAGTTATTCTAACATTAAAAGATACAATCGAGCAAAAACCGTTGAATCCAATCATTTGATCCGACCTCCACCTCCGCCTCCACCTAAGTATGTTGTAGTAACGTAATATTTGGCATACACGGGATTTATAAGGATTTTTGATCAAACGGCGTCTGTTCCTACGGATATGAGAGCCTTTTGACCGGCCCACACGGTTCAATGAGCGGATGGTTCCAGAAAATATGAAATGATACTATGTAAATGGTTCTCACGCACTGCAGGATGTTAGACAGAAGGTTATGAGTTACAACAAATATTATCTTACTTAGCATTAACACGTTTATTAATGGTTGTTAATAAGAATATGGTTCTAGTGGCTGATACCAAGATTTTGTTAACCATTGCTCTGTAGAAGAAGTAGTATGGATTAGAGGAGAGTTCAGGACTAATATATATAGACTATGATTAATATTTGGTCTTCAGACTTAGTAATATATACTTTATACAATATATTATTCGCAGATATCAATATTCCATTTTTTTTTGTATATTTATAAATTGTACCAGCAATAAGTTCAATAAAATGAAATAGAATAAAAAAGCTATTATTTGCAAGTATCTACTCAGTTTGTTTCACAGTCAAACGTATTTATTAAAGCCAAAACAACATATAGTAACAATCATCATTTGTTACGTCAAGTTGGTATTCTGTTAGTTTGATATTTTTGCAATTCTAGTTAGTGATGAACCTCTCTAAATATGTATGTAGTGTTATCATAGAACAGATCATAACGAACATAACCCTTAGTATTACAAACTTTGAGCACGTAGTGGGCAAAAATTTGCCGTTCTCAGATCAACAAGAGATCTCGCTGAAAATCATCCAGTCGAAAAAACATACCTTATAATACGACGCAACCCATTAGCTTATAGAGACATGAGTGTAGGAAATAGTTACACAGAACAGATTAATATTGACGCTTTAAAAAAATATGCCTTAGAAATACAGAAAAAATAAAGAACAACAGTACCAAAAAGTATTTGAATACACTTAAAAGAATTCTGATCAAGTTATATGATCTGTCAAGTTAAAATACTTAATTGGTTTGTGAAATGGTTTATGAAGTATAATCATTTCTTCGATTATATAGTGGCTGATGGTTCAAACCGATGTCTGTTCTTCTATAGCTTGCACCATCCGCTTACATTCCCATC